ATATATTATAGTATTATTTTACTATTATTAACAAGGTTGGTGAAAGTTTTAAACATTATTAAATCCTATAAATCATTTATAGTATTTGATATTATGTTATTATTATTAAAAGTAAGTTATGTTAAAATAATTTTACAATAGATATTTTTAGGACTGTTTAAAAATGATATTATAATTTATAATATATAATTTATACTTTATAGTACCTATCTATCAAAGAACAAAAATAATAATAATAATAATAATAAGGGGCAAAGGTAGGCCACCAATAGTGAAACTGAGGCAGTGAGGACTGAGGGCATATTTAGTTTTCGCCACATTATCATTGAGAATTGACTTTCTCGTATTATCATTTTTATTTTATAGTATTTGCCGCGGACGTCGGTCGGCGAATACCATAGATAAAAAAATTTTATTAATACAATTCTTTTATTATCTATGGCGAATATTCATGTACTATCCAAGGTGGATTGATATAATATAATATAATCAATCCACCTTGGTACTATCTCAGAATAAGAGTTATTGTGTGGCAAGATCTATAATGAAAAAATATAAAAATCTCAGATCTTTATAGATCTTGATTCTGTGGTACTATCGAAACATTATCACTATTTGATGACTGTTATCGCACAATGTTAGAATTAAAATTGCGTTCCCTGTGGTTACCGAAGTTGTGATTAGAAGCGTTATCGTAGATTCGCATTCTCGTGATTGTGATAAGACATGATAACCCACTTCGTATATGTACCGAGTGTGAGTAGGAGCCGCATACAGCTTCGGCGCAACGGCACACTGCAATCGGTAGTCGGATCACAGACGCCGCAAGATCTTCCAGTCGTCCGAATATTATTTATAATTTTGTATCGAGTTTTGATATACACAACAGTCGATATCGMATATTTTATTAAAATGTTTCGCGTTCCCATAAATTCTGTGCAAAACGTCGTCGTGCGCCTGTCGTAATCCATCGGTCTCCTAACTATGGGCAAAAAATCTGCTCTGGTTCTGTATCCACTGACTAAACTCACGGTTATCTTGCGAAAGCACATCTCGCAACATGTAAGTCAGTCTTGTCTTGAACTTTATATACATAGGTACATTATTTACGTATTTTTTTCATTTTCGTAACAGTAGTTTTCTAGCGACACTTGACCGTAATAATTAAACATTAATTATTACGTTAGGCGCTATGAAACAATATTAATTATTTTATTCTTTTGACTAAAACAAATTCAGAAATGTTTAATTAAAGTATTCATAGGTATCTTATGTTTTTGGGGACAAAATAAAATAGGTACCTCCAGGGGCGGATTGGCAAATTTTTTCGGCCCGGGAAATAAGAATCAAACCGGCCCATTCATCGAAAATGTAACTCTCCCCCTCACTCTTTCCCTAACCAAAAAAACACATGGTTTTACTTAAATTTCAAAATGAATTTAGTTTCACCCTTAAATCAATAAAATATATAATACTTATATTTAAGCTACCTATACCAGTAGTGCGTTAGTCAGATAAGTTTAACCTGTTCTAACTTGATCTTAAAGTTTGATCTTACTACACTTTTAAATATTTATTTATTTATTTTTTATTTATTTAAAATTACAATGTTTCAACATATTACAGGTTATTACAAGGTATTATTTT